TAGGTGAACCACACACCTGTATAGGATTGAGGATTGAGATGAGATGGGAATAAGGATTGAGGATGGATAAGTTATGAAATCCTGAACGGACACATACTTAAGAAAAAAAAAACGTGGGATACTTCCAAAGGAAGGAGAGAAGCAATAAATTTGAAAAGACACTCTTCACTCATTCCTCCCCAATTTGGGAAGAATTTCAACCGATGATGGCGCTGCTTATACGACGACCAGCTGATCGGAATAACTGAATATAAAACATAAGTTATGTTTTGGTGATTTGAGTTATTTTATTGTGAATTTGACAAATTATTGTTTTTTGTGCTTTTATTATAGACATGAGAAATCGATTTATAAGGAAAATAAATCACTTTCACTCATGGGTACAAGAAACCACAACAATATATGACAGCTGACAGAACTTTGTTTTGTTTTGTTGGTTTAGTTGTAATATGTCCCATAGATGTCTTATTTGGACAATGAACCCCAAGGAAATTTAAAAAATTATGAGAATCATAAATAAAACTTTAATCATTATAGATCTGCTGGAACACGTACTCCTGGCCATGTCTTTTGACTAATTGAATCGTGACTCTCTTCAGTTCGCATTTTTACGATAAAATATTGGAATACTTGGAATATCTACTTTGTATTGTTACCTTTGATTAGAAGACAAGGGTTCGTGAAGTAATATTTTCATTTTTATTCGATATCATCGGTTGAACGATTATAGAAATGGAGTAAATTGAGTGCAACTTGTGACTTTCCATTTTTTCAGGAGTGGAGTGAAAAGAATTACTATGGGGTGATGGACTTTTGGAGTGGACATGCGCATTTGCAATTGTTTTGTTCCATTTTGAATTTTTACGCGCTTGCATTATAGCATTTATGATTGTTGTTTGTAAGATAATTATTAATAATGAAATGATTGAAAATAATGAATAATTGCATCAGGAAACGCTAATAACAGTAATGTTTTGGTTTTTACAGTCTGTTGGAATTTTTTGAGACGTTTCGCAAGCGCTAGTAGATGTCTGTTTTCTTCCTGACATTGTAACTGTCAGGAAGAAATTTCAACAGACGACCTAAAAAGCCGAAACATTCCAATAAGAATAGTTTCACCATCACTTCCAAATTTTGAAAAGTGGTTTCAGTATAGGTATGATGCTAAAATCATACAACATGAAGTGAGTCTGAACTTTCGAAAAAGTACCTACTGAGCAAGAGTAACCATGCACAGGCATACATATTGGTTTATTTGTCTCTTAAATATTCATAAACAGTTTATAGTAAAAATTTGTTTTTTGTTGATAAAATTTGTGAAATTTTTACTGGTTTTCTTGAATTTCAGAATTAGAAAATTGACCACTTTNATAAATATGGTCTCTAAACTGATCTATAACTTCAAACTTTAAATTTTACTCTCTACTTCCTATCAAATAATTACTTGTTGGTAATCATGAATATTTGTTCAATCAACCGATCCAATATCACCAACCCAATCTTCTTGGGATCAAAATCTGTATGTTTAATACACAGTCATAGTGTGACTACTCCAAGAGAACAAAAGTACAAAATTTACTTTGATAGACAGAACTTACCTCAAAATTTTGAAGCCCTTAATCTCCAGAGCAACAAAAATAGGTTATTTGGTACATAGGTACGCAAACATCTTGAATACATCTCCATCTAACTTTGTAAAAATATCACATTACGCCTCTTACAAATCCATTATAGGTATCTGTCGAGTTAATGTTCACAAAATATTCTACACAGCAATAACGCCCAATCATCAGTTTTTGATCACTGAATATCTACAAAATTCTACTATGAAATGTATCCATCTTGAGAAAAAACTTCACATTAACTTCGTCTCATAACTTCTAACAGTTCCCGTGAAAATAACAGCGGACATTTTGAATAATATATATTGTGAAGTTAGGCAATCAAGCACGGCTACCAGAATGAATTTCGTTAAACCAAAAATGAATTTGCGATTCGTTTTTGTTTCACTTAAAGGGGTATTTGAATGTTTAAATCTGGATGCACCAATAGAAGTAGTACATAAAGCACTAGGAGATCAGCGTCACCTTTATGCTAATGCTTCATTCCTATGAATGAGAAACTCAGAAAATAATCAAGGTAGTTCTGTTATTTTTTGAAATTATGGAAAGTAATGTAATTATTGGTTCAATTTTACCCTTATTATTATAGATAGAATTATGGAATGAAGAAGCAAGGATAATTATCTTTCTGTTACTAAAAGCACCCTTGAGAAAACAATTTATTAGGACGGTGTTAGAATTTGGAATAAAAAATAATATTGCTTAGGTACTTGCTTAACAATACTACTTCTAGCTGAAAACTAGAGTCCCAACACATCAGTGGTGCTAGTCAGAACTACAAATGCATTACTGGACTCAACTGTCCCTAAACTACAAGCCTGAGTGAGCGAGGGCGATGCCATCTCCCCTTACAAAAACGCCATCTATGGGATCGATAGAAAACACAATCCTCAAACATCAAAGGTAAACGAGCCCCCCCCCAAAGCGGTCACTTGCAAAACCAAGTTTTGACATCGACTGCCGACGAGACTGCAGCTTCCACTGCAAGGCAACTAGCTGGAAACATTCATCATCAGACAGCGCTGTTACGACTCGCCATAGGTTTCATCAGTGCTGCTAGGCTGAACCTTAAATGCATTGCAGGACTCAGCGGTCCATGTCCAAACGTGGCTTTGCAACTGAAATGAGCAATTCATAAACTAGTTACTAACTATGCAATGAAAGACAGAAGACGAATCTCGATAACGAAGCTAGGTTTTGCAACTGACCACCTTGGGAAGCCTCGTTTATCTCTATCCAATTATCGCAGCATACTTCTGAATTATGCGGATTCATGTTAAAGAATAAGCCTACTTTGAGAGGGATATTAGAGCAAAATCTGTTGAAATTTAGGATACTGATTATTGTGGAAGAGGGGTATGAGTTCAACTCTTCCAAAGTATTTGTTAAATTACGGAAAAAAGTACAAATGAATAAAAAAAAAAGAGGAACGGTTTTCAACAATGAAATGAAAAAAAATCACAAAAAATTGTGTGAAGGTGCCGTTGCCAAAACAATGATCAAAAAGGGTATATTTTTAGGAGAGAATAATTTTTGGGAAAGATTTTGGGTTTCTACTTCTCCACCTTTATACAAAAAATGTGGAAATCTTTCAAAGAAAGGAGGAAATCAATTTCAAAAATAAACTCCATACAAAGATGTGTAGATCATACAAAGGAGTAACTTTCAGACACANGATGACAGTCAGGTGATTGAATCTAACTTTATTTACGAATATATTCTACTATTATAGTGCTAATATATTGCACCCAATATTTATACCTGTAGATATGTTATATTTACACTTAAAAAAATTACTTTTGAAAAATTAATATCATTTTCGAAGTAGAAGAAATATGAAATATTTAATACAAATATGGAATTCGTATAACTAAGGTTGGAACAATAATAAACAATTGAACAATGAACAACCGATGTACCTACAATTGTTAAGCTTTGCAGGGTTCATTTATAGTTTGTCGACAGATATATCAGCAGGTGGCGATGGAAAACAAATACAGGTATAAGTACCGCTGATTATTGCTGACGAAGGGCCGATTAAATGAATTCGAATAGCATTTATTTTTTAATACTTAACCACTTGAAAGAGGACACTCTGTCTAATTCAAAGGCATGACAGATTGTCAATTAAATATAGATACCTAATTATTATGTTTATCCTTGGTGATAATTTTCGAAAAGGTTATCCATATAATATAATATGAGATAACGTTAATGAATTAAAAAAAAAACGGTCTTTTGATATTCGTGACTATTTGATCACGAAACGCAAAGAACCGGCCCTCAAAGTCTTAGAAGCCGTTATCTCTGGTTGATATAACATAAGTACCTACATCATAAGCCACAATAAACCCTTGTGGATTGCGGTGGAGGGTCGAATAGACCCACTCACTTTAGACCTACCTACATCATAAACTATTGTTGAAATCATAGCACAATCAGCCATGTCTTTTGACTGATTGAATCGTGACTCTCTCCAGTTCGAGTTTTTACGATAAAATATTGGAATACTTGGAATATCTACTGGTCAACTGTCGAAATTAACGCCTCCGGTGCTTTGTATTGTTACCTTTGATTAGAAGACAAGGGTTCGTAAGTAATATTTTCATTTTTATTCAATATGATCCGTTGAACGATTATAGAAATGGAGTAAATTGAGTGCAACTTGTGACTTTCCATTTTTTTCAGGAGTGGAGTGAAAAGAATTACTATGGGGTGATGGACTTTTGGAGTGGACATGCGCATTTGCAATTGTTTTGTTCCATTTTGAATTTTTACGCGCTTGCATTATAGCATTTATGATTGTTGTTTGTAAGATAATTATTAATAATGAAATGATTGAAAATAATGAATAATTGCATCAGGAAACGCTAATAACAGTAATGTTTTGGTTTTTACAGTCTGTTGGAATTTTTTGAGACGTTTCGCAAGCGCTAGTAGATGTCTGTTTTCTTCCTGACATTGTAACTGTCAGGAAGAAATTTCAACAGACGACCTAAAAAGCCGAAACATTCCAATAAGAATAGTTTCACCATCACTTCCAAATTTTGAAAAGTGGTTTCAGTATAGGTATGATGCTAAAATCATACAACATGAAGTGAGTCTGAACTTTCGAAAAAGTACCTACTGAGCAAGAGTAACCATGCACAGGCATACATATTGGTTTATTTGTCTCTTAAATATTCATAAACAGTTTATAGTAAAAATTTGTTTTTTGTTGATAAAATTTGTGAAATTTTTACTGGTTTTCTTGAATTTCAGAATTAGAAAATTGACCACTTTAGATAGGTACCAAGTGAAGGGCCTTACCCTCAAGCTCAATGCGTACAGTGATGAAGCGAACAAAAGCAGTAAAATAAAAATGTAGGTAGGCAGTGTTTTGATCAATACACTCCGTTTCCATAACAACACATACATCTGAATTTCATTGAAATAGTATATAGTAGGTGCTGAAGTGCAATGTACGATCACACTACTTCCGTATTTAATAATACTTGTTTAAAAGTACCTATACATTCAAAAATTGATCAACCTCTTCCAATGTATGAACAAAAATACAGATACAATTTAGAAAACGAGGCCAGGAGATCTAGTTTGGAGTTGGATGAAATGCCTAAAAAATTTCTAGACAAGGAAACGACAAAATCATTTTTGGATTTCTTTAGTAACATACCAGAATATGATGAAATCAATCATCTATCTAACGAAGAATTTTATAAGAAGCTGGAAAATTTAAAGGAAAAACAAAAGGTATACCAAGAGTGCTTGCAAAACGAAATTAAATTTGAATGTAAAGATTCTGAGTGGATTGAGGATTACAAAAATATTAAACTTGGAGTCAAGAATATAAAAGACAGTAAGAAGAAGCCAACTCTCAAACCATTTTGTGCAACTCCTATTTTGAGCAACAGTCGTAAAACGAGTAGAAACTTTGATATGAGTTTCGATTTTTCTTCGGGTAAAAATACGCCGACCAAGCCACCATCCAGAAGGTCTGTCAGGATTGAAAGCCCTAGCGAGTCATTCACACCAGAACCAAATTTTAGGCCCAAATCCAGGGTCAACTTGTGCTCTGCCGAGTTGAGAAAGGCTGGAAATATAACGGACTGGGAGGATTTGAGCCTTGAAAATTTAAATCTATGTTCTGGAAGTAACACTCCAGCACCATTGGAGATTAAAAGTGCACCAAACAGCCCCGTGAAGAGTAAGCTAAATAAAGAAGGCTGGAGTGATGCTGGCATTACGATTCCAAAACCATTTCAGATGACAGTCAGGTGATTGAATCTAACTTTATTTACGAATATATTCTACTATTATANCTAATAGCTAAATTAATTAAAATTGCTGTTGAAGGACTTGCCCTGGAGTGGATAAAATCTTATCTGAATGCAAGTCGTTAGTCTTCCAAGGGTAACTGAGAAAACAGTGACCATCTGTAACTCTGATTACTTGACATCAGTGTAGGTGTTCTTCAAGGATCAGTAGTAGCTCCAGTATTGTTCCTAGGATATATGTAAATGACATCGTTAGAGTGAACCCATCCAAACACTTCACATTTTATACGGACGGTACGTCTATACTTATTATTCTCTAAATGCATCTAAATGCAGAAAAACCCCAGTCAATACATTTTCATGAAAGACAAAAACAAGCGTCTACAGTAAATATCAATAATAAAGTTTTGGAAAATGTATCATGTCTAAGTTTTCTGGGCCTGTACACCGATTAGTGTCTTGACTGGAGAAGACACTGTGAGTCAGTTATAGCTTCCAGCTATCTAATTAGAAACATGAGATTAGTTTTGACGAAGAAACAACTGATATTGTTATATTAAACAGAGGTCGAATCCCGCCTAAGATACGGAGTATGTTTTTTGGGGTCATCTACTTGTTTTAATGATCTGTTCATATCGCAGAAAAAATTATTGGTTGTATGGCAAGTGTCTTTTGTACCTCTAGTTGTAGGTGTAGTTGAAAAGTTCCGGGTCTAGGAAATAATACCCTTTTTTTTCGAAATTGGATTTATTCATCAATAATAAACACGATTGAAATGTTGGTGAGCTGCTGCATTTGTTGGTGGAATATTTGATAACTGTACAGGTTTGTTCAGTTTTGTAGACTTGACGTATTGTGCATAACAAAGATTACTGTTTTCTCAGTTACCCCTGGAAGACTAACGTATTATACCGTACAGTTTTCTTTTTCAAATGCTGTTGAAAGTTGATAAATAGCATTTATATTTTAATCGAAAATTAGGGGACTTAACCACTTGAAAGAGGACACTGTCTAATTCAAAGGCATTACAGATTGTCAATTAAATATAGATACCTAATGCTGATTGGTTTGTTTGTCCTATTAGAATCAATTATTCCTTGGTGATCATTTTCGAAAAGGTTATCCATATAATATAATATGAGATAACGTTAATGAAGTCACAAAAAACGGTGTTTTGATATTCCTGACTATTTGATCACGGAACGCGAAGAACCTGCCCTCAAAGTCTTAGAAGCCGTTATCTCTGGTTGATATAACATAAATACCTACATCATAAGCCAAAATAAACCCTTGTGGATTGCGGTGGAGGGTCGAATAGACCCACTCACTTTAGACCTACCTACATCATAAACTATTGTTGAAATCATAGCACAATCATTATACTGAAATATTACAAAGTTACGCAAAAGGGCCCGGCCAGGATTTGATTTCGGAGAAGGGGGCGAGTCAGTGAGCGATAATAACTGAAAAATCAGATAGAAATAGATTACAGAAATATAAACCCTTACATATAACGAAGATATGAAACTAAAAATATCAAATAAACTCTATGAATATTTAGGTAGGAAATTCTAAAATTGTTTCCTGAACACAATACCATTTTTTTAATATTGGCAAGAGGGACTCCTTTGACCTATCTTGTCACCATCTCATTTTCAAATGGTGATTTTTCCGATTGTCTAAAGACTGACAGGGTCGTTCCAATTCTGAAAAAAATGTGATCCAAAACTGGTTAGTAATTATCGTCCCATAACTTTTCCCTCCATATTTTCAAAAATATTTGAATATACCAATTAAGAGAGGCTGAACTTTCACTTGAAGCTGAGTCATTTGATAATCGACAATCAGCATGGATTCCAAAAAACCAAATCTACAAGCAGGTTATTCCCTCCTTTTATGAAAACCTGACTAACTTGGTTGATGCGGGCGAGTGTCCTGTTGGGGTCTTGTGTAATCTCGGCACTGCTTTCGACTGCGTCAACTGTAGCACCCTAATAGCTAAATTAATTAAAATTGCTGTTGAAGGACTTGCCCTGGAGTGGATAAAATCTTATCTGAATGCAAGTCGTTAGTCTTCCAAGGGTAACTGANTCGATCAATGCCACTGCTCTATCCTCCTTCTACCCAATACACCAACATTCATTGTTTAAATTTTGAAATTTAATACTTATCACGAATTAAAGTAAAGTGAAACTACAGAAGTTTTCATATTAATGATCGAATGGAACATGATAATAATTAGTATGGAGTACACACCAGAAGTTTTTATCATGAAATAATATATATTTATTTACTTATTGGCTTTTAAGGATGTGTCTCTATATTCATTTTGAGTAGTTTATTTTCCCTTCATGGTAGCTTATCTATCTCATCTGAATAATTCTTTTGTTTTATCGTTTTCTCCACTTTGCATCATCAAATTTAAAATATTTTCAGACAATGTGAGTCCGAATCTTTAAGACATTCACGCTTAATAGGTACTGTTTCAGCAGTAACCAGAACGTGGATGTTTTTATGAAATATTTGTATTACTATAGAAGAATCACAATTTCTTTTCTAGGGACGAAGAAAACAAAATAGTTGAAGAGTTGTTCGTGAAAATGAACAAGCCTAAGGAAGAAAAACCAGAACAGTTCAAGGCTCATGAAATTCCTATCGAGTCTCAAATACCTTTATTTGATAAAATAATGGAGGATCAAGAAAGGAGGTATTCACTTGGGAATTTGTGAAATGCGATATGGCTGCATGCTCAATTTTCAATTTGGGTTTTGGTTTTTATCATACTATGGGTATAATTTCAATTTTAGGAGTTTCTTAACAAAGGAACGTAGAAAGGCAGATCTTCAAGCACAAATGAAACCCTTTTCATTTACGAAAAGAGATGAGGAGATTCAGGAACTCACTAAGGAATTATCAAAATCTTCACCGAATCTTTATTCGGATCCACCACTGAAGATAAAAAAATTCAAAGCCAAACCAATACCCAAAAACTTATTTAGTAACTATATTTATACGAAAATGCACGAGGATGAATATTACAGGTGGGAATTTTTTCAGGCAACTTGTAGTCAGTTCAAATGTTATCTAACTTCAATCACCAATTATTCGAATCAAATAAATAAAAAAAACATCCTAGAAAATAGCCCAAAACAAATTTCCACATGAATGCGCATGAGCAATGGGAACAGTTCTCAACAGTTCAGCCTCAAGAGCAAGAATTATTCGGGATGGTTCAAGACAGTTTAGGATCATTTCGCAGTCGAAACCAGAATAGAGGATTCATCAATCCGAAATTATCTTGTCTTTTGTTATTCTGAGGAAATTATCTCCAATAAACCAGAACGCTTTATATCAACTGCGCATGATCCTGACGTCCTAGAACCTGAATTTCGTAGAACCAGAACAAACCTAGTAGTTCTCTCACTCAAGCGGTGATGGTCGTGCATGATTCAACTCAAGAATCCACTTCACACTCACCCAAGTTGAACCTAATGATCAAATGAAAAATAAAAATTGGAAATTTGTTGCCCTTAGTAAATTTTATAGGTATCCTTCACAGGATGACTTTATTTGGTTGGCTAGTCAGAAAAGCTAGATCCTTCGGTTTCGTCCGGAGCAGCAGATATAAGAAAGTAAAGGAGGATTGAAAAATCCTCATTATTGCATTGTACATCTCTTTTCCGTTCATGAGAAAAGTACATTAATCACTGCTATCTCAATCATCTTCATTGGGTTCCTGGAGTAAGTGTATTTTATATGGATGTACTTTGTTCTTCTACAAAATGACTTGGATACTAGCTCAGTTGATTTTTATACATATATAGCTGCTAAATGCCTCGTACTGAACATGTCCTAACACGGCGACTTCGCTAGCTTCGTTAACTATAGACCCTACAGTTTCTTATTTTTTATTACCTACATTTCCAATTTTCTGTTTTTTTTTTCAAACTTCAAAATATACCTACTTGCTACTGACATGTTCATCTTGATGTCGTTTATTAAATTGCCGAGCTGTTATATTGGCACATTTTTAATTTAATACAACGAAATGATATCTACCCTTCTCGGAATGGAATAAACCACGGTATTAAAATTTTAAAGACTACAAATTGATGGTCATAACTGATATTCACAATGGAATTCTCTAATTTCACGATTGTATAATGCTATTTAAATGTGACAAATGTGACAAAAAATAAACAAAAACCTGTATATAGGACTTTATATGACTTTAGGCTACCTTGGGTTATATTAATGTAAAAAATACAGTTCATGTTTTTCGGTGATAATATAGCTTTCTAAGTGAGATGAAATTTTTATGAGCTGTGGTCAGTGAAAATATAACAAATTGAATTGAATTATGATGGCGAAAAACTAGTTCCGTCCATCTCATATAATTTATTCTGGTCTTTAGTATAATTGAATTTGATTTTAATACAGAAAATTTCCCCTAATTTTTCAAAATACATTCCATTCTTTTTAGAACAATATTTTCACTGTACGCATTTACTATGAATTCAGATGAATAACAAGGAAATATATAATTATTCATATCACGTACCTATACAGACTACAATTGTTAAACATTTTTGGTTCAATGAGCCTCTTTTCCTTTTAATTGAAACAAATATTGGGCCAAAAAAAACTTTTTCAGCATGCGTAAACGGAAATACGAATGCTTCGACTCCTTCCACTGGTAATATTACCATTTCAGGTGCAACTGGTTGACATTTTCTGATTCGACATTCCTGACAATTTCTGAATAATTTTTTCACAGCTGAACGAATACGTAGTATCCAATAGTTCCCTCTCAGATCTTTCACCTTTACACCAAAGGCTTCCAGTTTGAAAGTATCCTTCACCATTAAGATGGAGTTTATCTTCGTCGCTATATCGACAGCAAATATTGGCATGAATATGTTCCTTGTTATCAGATAAATCATTGATAAGCCCACTAATAGTCCAATCTAATTTTGATCTAGACATGATAGGCCGGTTTATTCTTGGTTGAATAACCTGACGTGGAATAATCAAACCACAATTATCTTGTCCGATAGGAAGTTCAGGTTTAGCATTTTCAACAGATTTAATAACTTCAAGATCTAAATGTGGAAATTTTCGAGTCAAAGTTTCTACATCAATTTTGTGGCTTGGTAAATTCAAATTTCTTACTGTTCTGAGATTATTTATAATGGAAAAACTAGGTTTTTACTATTCGCTGAAATATTTACAGAAACGTTTTTGAAGTGTCTTCAAAATGAGTAATATCGTTGGTCCATTGAAAACGTAGTGGAACAACTGGTCCAGAAAGGTTAATTTTCCTAGCTAATTTTTCGTCAATCATGGATCATGTTGATCCTTCATCAACATGAACATCGCTTGTGGGTCTACGAAGATTAACTTTTTGTATCATGTGCTTAAGCGCAAAATTCATTTAGGAACGCTGACTGATCTTGCGAAGTTGACTATTGTGTTTTCCTTTGCAATTATCGACCCCACATCTTGTTTTCAAAAAGCATCTATTAGTTATGTGACCTGTTTGTAAATATATAAAACATTATTTCAAATTTAGTGCCGAATCTCTTGTTTCTGGTACAGTCTTTTCTTTAAATTTGCCACATTCTTTTATCATATCCTTGAAAAACACTCAACCTGAAGTATATCTACATTTGGTGTTGTATTTTTTTGAAACACATTTGTAGGTACAATTGAATGCCATGGAATTCACTTCCTCTTCATACCATTTTGCGAAATCTTCAAGTTAAGTTGGTATTTCCTGTATATCTTTCTGATATTTGAATTTTCTCCAGTTATATTTCTGAATAGGGGAAAAATTATTCACCAAACTCATCAATAATTCCGGGTTGAACAAATGAAGTGTAGAAATAACATTTTTCATTGTAACCACCAAATTATTGACTGCGTTCAAAAGATATATGCAAGATTCAAATGTATCCTCTCGTACCTGTCCAATTTTCTCGACTTTTTCTATCAGAGAAAGTACAATCCATTTAGATATGCCGAAATTCATTTCAAGAATTTTGAGGATTTTAGGAAAATTACTTGGCGAAATCATTAAGGCTTCGACAGGCTTAAAGGATCTTCCTTTGAGTGCCTTATCAAGACGAACAAAGGTTTGCTCATCTGATAAACAAAACTGCTCAGTAGATCTTTTGAACTCAGCAATAAAAATAGGCCAATCAGTGAGTTTCCCTGAGAAATATGGAAGGTCCCTTGCTCTTTGTCTCATCAGTAATGCATTCCTATTTGCACTAGTTTCTATACTACTATTTTCTAGCGACGTCAAGAACAATATCTCTGTTTTCACCTTCACCAAAGGAGGAAGAATAACATGGATGTTCGCAAATAGAATAACGCTGGTTGCTTTTTCCGCTTAATTCTGATTTATTATTGATGTACTGTTCATCAACGTTCAAACATTTTACAGCTTTACTACATTTTCTGGCATCCTCAACCCAATGGTATAGACTTGGTTACACCCCCTGTTGTACTTTTTTGGATTATTTTCTTCTGAATTTCAATTTCTTTAAGAACATTTTTTCATTTTTTTCGATAGCTTAATTTAACTTGACTTACAGTAAATCCTCAATATTGAATTGTCTTAAAACCAGTGACTGATGTGACTGATCTGTCAAAATGAAATAATAAATTCTTATACAGTGTCTTCAACAACTATGTTTCAGAGCTCTCCAGAAAAAAATTAGAGCCGAAGAAATGTTACGAGCATCTTCCCTACCTCCATCTATGGCAAAACGTGAGAAGTCATCATCAAAAATGGAAGTTTGTCCTCGTTCTTTTCGGGACTCTCCGAAAGAAGGAAATATTTTGAGGAAATTGAAGAGCGTACCAAATTTTAAGGCATACCATGAAAGATTTGAGAAGGAATTGGAGGAATTGAAGAATGAATTCATATCTACGAGTCCAAGACCGTTCAAGCTCAAAACATCTAGACGGGTATTAATTGATAAAACTGATTTTAGATTTTGTTTTTGTAATTGTGAATTACTATTGAGGTATCAATAATAAACAACAAAAATAATTTGTCATGATTATAACGAAGATTATTGTGATTTATTTCAAAGTTATTTCGAAAATGTATTGTTTGGAAGGATTTAAAATAGGCTAACTTCATGTCTCTGAGTTATGAAAGATACTCATCTGTGAAGAATAATGCGCTAAATCTTTCCCAATAAACATTTTTGGTAAACGACCAATAGAAAATACATAAAAAGGGGACCAATCCATGAAAAAATTACTTTCCGGAATTCTATATGAAAAATGTTTTTCTTCTATCTTGAGTGTTCGTATAATAATTCAGAAATTTCGGTTTATTGCACGATCGGTTGTAGAGAACAATCTTCGGAATCGAAATCAACACCATCTCTGTAAGTAATTGAAGGACAGTCAGTTTATTTGGTGAAAGACCTACCTAGTGGGCTAATATTTGAACCAAAAATCGAGGCTAAATTTGTATTTAGATGTCGAAAATTGAAATAGAAGATTTGACATACATACAATATAAATGATCCTCATAAATATTCATATTTGTCTTACAACTTCAAAATCCATTTTTCGAGTGAATTGTTAAAAATTAAGTTTTTGTTTTTTGTTGAATCATTCATATAGGATTTTTGTTTGTTTTTATAGAGGAAGCGAAACTACTCGGCTAGTAGTAGAAGTCCTTCAACAAAGACTCCATCGCCTTCTTCTTGCAATCTTTCCTCGGTTAGTAGATCGAACCTAGCAGCGCTTTTGAGGATACAGTCAGCAAGGTAGTTCATTCATTTGAAAATATCTTGTTTTTATTTCAAAACCTACTTTGTAGACAGAAACAGGAAACGGAGATGATGACGAAGTTAGAGGAGGCAAAATTGAAGGAAGAAGCACGTTGGAGAGAAAAACTGATGAGGAAGAAACCAGTATGGGAGGCTTTGGCTTACAGTCACGAAGAAGATTTAGCAATGAGACTCCAACTGAGGAAGGATGAAGAGAAATTGAGAAACGAGGAACATCGAATGAGGATGCAGCTAATGTTAGGAAGGGTTAATCAACAACCTACGTTATTTGAAAGGCAATGTCAGGTGAATATCAAACAATATGTCTTCGTTTAGCAATAGAGAGGTTTTCCAACCTCAAGTGCGCCTTTGAAGACATTCCTGAGCACACATTTCTGTAACAATGCACTTCTGCTCAGAAGATGATATGGGTGCTTCCATCAAATTTGGAAAGATTGAATACTGGCGTTGTCACTCCCAGACTCACCAGGTTATTAATTTTGAACCCATTAGTATGCAATGAGTTCCCATCTACCTGGCTCCCGATAGCGCGTATATTTGGGGGTTGTTCATGACTACTTCAAACTTCATTTCGAAATCATATCGAACTGGAATTGACAACTATTTGCTTTTCACGTGGATTCCGGTGTGATGAAATAAAAAAAAAATCGTGTTTATACAAATATTTGTATCCTTTGTTTACTGTCTTGTGATTCATGATACACTCATTGCTGTTTTTTTATTACACAAATACATAAAGGTTCAGCTTTATCTCTAACGCAGCTGTCAAGCACTCAGAAATTGCTCTTGTGCTTCCCAAACAGGCGAGTGAATTGAATTTCTGCTTGCTTGCATTGATTGATGTTCCATTTTTTCGAATATATCAGATTGACATAACCGTTTGATATGATTATTAGATTATTTTTGGTTTCAAACCTCTTCTAAATATTTTGGATTATGTCCTGGTTGCCGCTCTAGTTTTTGAGAGAAGTTGATATATATGACTATTTCAAGTCAGCTATTGTTGATCATCACGTCCAGGTAATTCACTTTTTTAAAAGAGTAAACTGAGTTGCACTTGGAGTATGGGACTCTGAGTACATACTTTTACCTCTCGATAAATGGAACAAGCATTATTTTGTTTGGATTGACGTCCATGGATTCAATCTGGAATCATTAGCATGAGTTTTGAGTTGATTTCATCAAGCACCCCTTTCAACTGACGACTAGGTCATCAATATAAATTTGAGTCGTGAAGTCATGATCATGCAACTTTGTTTTTAAATTGTCGATGAAAAAGATCATAGTACATATATCTTCTGAACGACACTCTTTTTTTAGTCACTTGATATTGTTCTTCTCTCTGAGAGGTACCACTAAACTGCTTCCGAGTATTGAATGTAGCTTATCAGTGAGGGATGGCCCCCTCTATATCAACGAAGTATACGAGAGCCTTTCCTATTTCCAGAAAAATATGTTTAATGCCTTCAACTATGCACTATCAATGTGCATATGTCCACTTGACAGGTGAATTATCTCTTAATAAACGGTTTATAGATTCCCTTCTCAGGTAGGAACTAATGACTTAGTTTTCGAAAAAAGAAGTGAAGTTCATAGGGCGATAAAACTGGTTCATTTATTCGACATTTACCTTCCATAACTATGAAATATATCCAAGTATGAAAGTGGATACCATTTTTATTGAAGTGACGGTAAAAATTACAATCCTATTGGACGATTCAATTGTGCAATTGGCGGTTCTTCTTTCACAATCATTCTGGAACTAGGAAAGTGTATCGCTTTTCTTTCGGTTGTTGGTTTATTGCACGTTTCAGTTTTTTATCAGACCGATGTTGTTGGGATGTTATGTCAAGAGTTCTTTCTGAAGACGTTATAATAATAATAATAATAATCGTCTTTATTATTTCCACATTCAAAAGAATACAATAAATATTAGAAATTAAGGTTCATATATGGAAATAAATGGCGAAGTTTATTTTCTGTTGTGTTAACGCGACAGAAAATATTCTTCCACTCATCATTTCACACAAATATCTTCAAGATCTGTAACCTTCGTTGTTGTAGATTGAAACGGGTTACTTTGTTACTTAGGAACTAAATTATGGGCTGCCGGAACTCAGCGGAGAGGGATGGTGGGTAAATATAAGTCCACTTGGAGGATAAGTGTATTGTTTCTTCAAACACGCCAAGCTTGTGGTGATTACAGGCTTATGGCCCAGAAGTATACTTTTGGGTTCACAGATATAAAAGTAAGCAACTTATGATTAAACTTAAGGTGTGGTAAATACTTGGTTCCTTCTAGAATTTGCAATTTGTGCCGCAATGTTGATTCGAGGTCGTGCGGGAGGGTGTAATACATAACAGGAAAGACCTTACATGCATNAAAACAACTGATTCTCTTTGTAATGCCACGACAGTTACTGGATTACCTACTTCCGTTAAACATTCCGTTCAACAACGCTGGTGTTCCCCAGGGATTCATATTTTCTCTAACCCTCTTTTTATTGTATATCAACGACTAATTGGAAAAAACCAAGAATCCAGAATATTGCTTTGCTGACGACAGCACACTTGTCTCGTCATTCCATTTGGATTCCAGGACATGCTATGGAGGCACATCTTCACCGGCAGCAGGAGGTTGCATATCTTAATGAGGATCTAGGAGTGATTTCGAATTGGGGTGAAAGTAACCAGGTTCAATTCGATGCCACAAAAACCCAGGCATCGGTTTTCTTCAAGAAGATAAATGTCTCCGAAGCGGATACAATAATGTCAGGTTAGACAATTCCGCTTTCTGCTTCGATAAGTTTGTTGGGGGTTTAAATGGACACCAATATGTTTTGGCACAATCATGTCACTGGAATTACCAAGGCTGCTTCTCAAAAGTTTGGAACACTGTTCCGAACCAGAAAACTGTACACACCTCAGCAATTTTCGATGCTTTGTAAAGCTCAGATCAGATCTTCTTTGGACTATTGTTCTCATGTATGGAGCTCTACATCAAACATACCCTGAAGTTGCAGGATTCCACCCAGAAAAGAGCCATCCGCCTGATTGGAGACGCGAACATCACGTGCAACCTTGCTAGCCTGGAACATCGAAAAAAGGTTGGAGATTTGTCTCTCTTCTATAAATACTTTCACGAAAGGTGCTTACCGTTTTGAGTTTCAACTCACTACACCAGTTACAAATAACAGTGCAGTAACGTCAGTTACAAATAAATGTGGTAAAAACGTAGAAAGTTTCAATTCTCTCTTTTTTGCTTGTATTTTCTCCTTAAAAAAAACTTTCTTGCAGACATTTATCGTTGTCCACTAGCAAGACTCTACTTCTGGACACTTAAATAAAAGTAATTTAAAATGTTTTTTCTATCATAAATCTAGTAAATTGTAAAGAATAGAGAATAATCCTTTCCTCTACCATACTTGAAAAAGCTAAGCTAATATGAGAATCGCCCTTGTTATTATTCATTCAATCGAACATAATCGAATATCATGTATAAAAGTTGTTCAAACAACCGATGCTTAACAGTCAGGTATTGATCAATTGTCGAGGTACTTCCTGATCTGATATACAGTCTCGAAAGATGTCGAAGGGTTCTCACATTCAAATATTATTATTTTAAAGCGCTACTAGAAACCTTCGGTATCATCTGGGTATAGATATTTTTATTTTGAGTATTTTTTACAGTTCTTATGCTTTGAAAAAAAACCCTTTTCTTTTTCCTTTCCTTTTTTTCCCTATCAACGTTATTCAAGGTCGAATTATTCTGATTGTCTTTAGGCACAAAAAACTGAACTGAATTGTTTTGAATGTTATACAGGGTGGATGCTGTGCATAAAAATATGATTTCAATACATTACTTTTCTGTTATCTTATAAATCCGCTCTTGTATTTTGGGAACCGTAACAGATCGTCGTTTCAATCTCCCGTTGTTTTTTCTGAGCTCAAACAGCCCTTTATTGAACCAGAGTACTTAACTGTTGATTTACTTTAATAGTTATCATTAACTGACGTTTGTATTTCCCGTCGGAAAAGAACGATTTGCTTCAGGCAGGTATCCCAAGAGTAACCTCACATTCAGGACGCAGAACTTGCGATTTCATTGCCCCTAGGTAGTACAGAAGAATGATAATCCCCCTCCACGCTATCGTATTCTTCCATTCTCGTTGGCTTTGCATTAGGGGCAGGTTTCCAGAGGAGATAAGGATTTGATTGAGAAGCTGAGTATTCTTTCCTGAGATCACATTATGCGCTATGCATTACTCGCACTTCCCTATTTTGAGAGCGACAATTACTGTTGTATATAGGGGGATGGTGCAGAATTTCTTCAGTGATATCCATGATATTTGAGACGTAGGGTGTTAATTAGGACGTATGCCTGCTTCACTGTACCATTCAAATATTTCCTAGAGAAAACTGGTTTGAAAAGTGTTGAGCTATGGCTGATAACGTTCTGATAACCCCTGTCTGGTGTCGTTGTTAGTGGCTGAAATTTTTATTTAGATATCGTTCTTTACGGGTCGATTCCATGTACCTAAATATCCTCCATTCAACCATATGGATAGTTATATTTTCGCTAGAGTGAAGCAGCCTAGGAACTCTTCCACATATTAGGACTTGGCAAATACTTACCAGAAAACAACTGATTCTCTTTGTAATGCCACGATAGTTACTGGATTACCTACTTCCGTTAAACATTCCGTTCAACAACGCTGGTGTTCCCCAGGGATTCATATTTTCTCTAACCCTCTTTTTATTGTATATCAACGACTAATTGGAAAAAACCAAGAATCCAGAATATTGCTTTGCTGACGACAGCACACTTGTCTCGTCATTCCATTTGGATTCCAGGACATGCTATGGAGGCACATCTTCACCGGCAGCAGGAGGTTGCATATCTTAATGAGGATCTAGGAGTGATTTCGAATTGGGGTGAAAGTAACCAGGTTCAATTCGATGCCACAAAAACCCAGGCATCGGTTTTCTTCAAGAAGATAAATGTCTCCGAAGCGGATACAATAATGGCAGGTTAGACAATTCCGCTTTCTGCTTCGATAAGTTTGTTGGGGGTTTAAATGGACACCAATATGTTTTGGCACAATCATGTCACTGGAATTACCAAGGCTGCTTCTCAAAAGTTTGGAACACTGTTCCGAACCAGAAAACTGTACACACCTCAGCAATTTTCGATGCTTTGTAAAGCTCAGATCAGATCTTCTTTGGACTATTGTTCTCATGTATGGAGCTCTACATCAAACATACCCTGAAGTTGCAGGATTCCACCCAGAAAAGAGCCATCCGCCTGATTGGAGACGCGAACATCACGTGCAACCTTGCTAGCCTGGAACATCGAAAAAAGGTTGGAGATTTGTCTCTCTTCTATAAATACTTTCACGAAAGGTGCTTACCGTTTTGAGTTTCAACTCAGTACACCTCGAACTTCACTCTTTAAGAACTCGTTCATCTGGAGAACTGCGTTTATGTGGAATAAACTTCCTGAGAATGTTTTTCCAAATGGATTTAATCTCCAGCGATGTGAATCGCTACTTTCTCACAGCCACCACATGGANCAGCACATGTAAATTTTTCTAACAATGTTACAATCATTTTTATTATATAACTGAATCCTTATACCTTAGTAATACTAAAAACGTAAAAAAAAAACCAACAAAACATTTGACAATGAAGAAATTATTCGAATAAAAGACGAACTCCTACATTCATCGATGAGTCCACTGATGGATCTGATGGATTCATCTATTGGTCCATTCAAAACATTAGCCAGTTTTTGAACTCGCCTGAAAAAATCCGTGACGTCATAAGAGGGTCACGGATTTCCTCCTACCTCTAGTACCGCCTTGTCTAAAGTCGGCTTTATTTCGTAACCCCCTCTATGAGACAACTAACTAACCATTGAAAGAAATGATGTTTCTGTAAGATTGATAGTCAGTGAATGATGATATAATTGGTTTTTTCAATTCAAGATCAAATATCCAAAGACCAAGGAAGAACTCATCAAACAACTTCACCAAGAGTATGGAACTTCTAGAAAAAACACGAAAAGAATAACGAGTGACTTATCGGATATAAGATCTCTGGTAGAGATGAAAGATGAATCGATTCAAGCACTTTTGGAAGATGGCGATTTTGAAACAAGAAAAGAGAGTGAAACTATACCAGAAGATAAAGAAAAATGCGATTGCTCCACAGATGAAGACAATGAACATTCTAATTGAGGTCTGCTTATTAGACATGTAGTTGATTTGAAATAGAATTTGCAGAAAAGTTATTGACTTGTTTGATTATTTGCAACTGTATTAAAACCTTCGAGGTATCATCATCTAGTTTGAGTAGAGCCTAGATGATGATAGCACGACCAGCTGTCGAAAGCGCTCGCATATAATTAAATAGAAGTTATAAAGCTTCAAATCCTTCTTGTGACTTACATTAATATTAAAATACTGAAAATAAAG